TTTATCTTTTTTTTTTCTTTAAATAGTGAAGTTGAGGGCTGGTAGCTTGCACTGAAGGGTTTAATTTTTCCTCGTGCTTTGACTTTAGCCCCCAACCAGATAACGTCCTTCTAGTTAATTCTACCCACTTAAAGCCTTTTTTGCCCTTCCTGTCCCTAAACCTCAGTGCTTTGAAAAACTCTGCGCCATCATCCTGAACTATAGAGTGAAGCCCTTCACAGAGCATCATCAAGTGTTTGGCAGTTTCCTCCTCCTCTCCACACACACTGCATACCGCGTCTACCCCTTCGTATTTCACCCGATATGTCTTGGTTCGCAATACTCCTGTCCTGGCCTCAAACAGTAGAGAAATACCCCGAGTAGTATCATAGATCCTTTTCTTGGCGATTTCCTGCTTAAAAGTTCGATAGATCTCTAGTACGGACTTCTTAATCATGTCGATTCTTCACATGTCGGTCTCCGTTTCCTTCACCTTCTTCTTAACCGATAGTTCTTTTTGGTCTGGCCCCCTGCTGTTTTCTAAGTATTTACCTGTCAATTTGCTTCCTCCATTTTGTATCGACGTTCTTCATGTACAAGTAGCTGAAAACCTTTTTAGCCCAACGCTCCTCCCCCATTTCTCTCAATCGCTTCTTAAATTTTATCTTGCTGCTAGCTTCCGTGCCCTCAAATGATGTCCATCCCATATCACCTTGTACTCACTGATTTGGTGTATTTCCCTGAACTTTTAAAACAAGCCTACCTTTTCCAAATTGCTTTATTTCCAATCTTGCTTGAACTTCTGATTTCATGCACAAGACCGCATTGCCAAACGTCAGACCAAGAACCATGACCCCCTTTCCATATTCCTCTCACAACATCATACCAATTGTAATTTTACAGTGCCATATTTTTAATCACTGCTGAATTCCTGTTACCTTTAGTCGTTACGTATATTTCATGTTCCTTTAGGTACTCGGTCCCATTACTTATCCATACACCCAGATATTTGTATTTATCTGTACTATCTAGCATGACCTCCTGTGTCCTAAGCTAACTACCTTCATTATCATTAAAGTTTGTGACTGCTGATTTTTCCTCACTGAATCTAAAATCTAGCCTACCTCCCTCATTACTGCAGATGTCCATCAATCTCTGCAAATCTTCCTTGTTGTCAGCCATTAGCACTATATCATCTGTGTACATCATAGAGTTTCATACGAAATTCTATGGCATACATCAATGCTGGTAGTGCCTGTTCAAAAAGTTTTCCTTGTGTGAGAAAGAGAGGTTGAAGCCAAGTCTACTTCCCTCTAATTTGGCCTCTAGTCCTTGTAGGTACATTATGAAAAACAAGGGTGAGCGAGGACACCCCTGCCTAAGCCCCCTGTTGACCTCTGTGGGCTTGGATACCTGTTTTTTCCACTTTATAACTACCTTGTATAAACGTTGGATGGATTGATATGGCTGTACCCTTTAGATCAGGCGGTGGCTAACGTCACTAAACCGTAATACTTAGTGAACCAAAAACTAGACTTTTTCCCCTTTAAATGGTGTGGTTGAGGATTCGTACTTTGCAGTGAAGGGTTTCATTTTCACTCGTGCCTTGACTTTAGCCACCAATCAGATAACCTCCTTCTAGTTAATTCTACCCGCCTAAAGTCTGTGTCCTCCCTGTATCTAAACCCCAGTGCTTTGAAAAACTCTGTCTGTGCCATTATCCTGAACTATAGAGTACAGCCCTTTACAAAACATTATCAAGTGTTCGGAAGTTTCCTCCTCCTCTCCACCTGCACTGCATACCGTGTCTACCCCTTCATAATTGCCAATGTGTCTTGGTTCGCAATACTTCCTTCCTGGCTTCAAACAGTAGAAAACTACCTCGAGTATTATCATAGATCCTTTCCTTGGCAATTTCTTGCTTAAAAGTTCGATAGATCTTTTGTAAGAACTTCCTAATCATGCCAATTCTCCATATATCGGTCTCAGCGTCCCTCGCTTTCTTCTTAATCGATAATTCTTTTTTTGGTTTGGCCCCCTGCTATTTTCTAAGTATTTACCAGTCAATTTTTTGGTTCACTTCCTCCATTTTGTATCGACATTCTTCATGTACAAATAGCTGAATACCTTCCTAGCCCAACGCTTCTTTCTCATTTCTCTCAATCGCTTCTCGAATTTTATCTTGCTGCTAGCTTCCCTGCCCTCAAATGCTGTCCATCCCATATCACCTTGTATTCCCTGATTTGGTGTATTCCCGTGAGCTTTTAAGGCAAGCCTACCTATTCCAAATTGCTTAATTTCTAATCTTGCTTGCACTTCTGATCTCATGCACAAGACCGCATCTTCGAACATCAGACCAGAAACCATGACCCCTTTCCATATTCCTCTCACAACATCATACTTATCGTAATTCCACAGTGCCTTGTTTTTCATCACTGCTGCATTCCTGTTACCCTCAATCCTCACATATATTTCATGTTTCTTTAGGTACTCTGTCCCATTGCTTATCCATATGCCCAGATATTTGTATTTATCTGTTATCTCTAGCGTGACCTCCTGAATTTTGAGCTCACTACCTTCATTATCATTAAAAATCATGACTGCTGATTTTTTCCTTACTGAATCTGAAATCTAACCCATATCCCTCATTACCGCAGATGTCCATCAATATCTGCAAATCTTCCTTGTTGTCGGTCATTAGCACTATATCATCTGCGTACATCAATGCTAATAGTGCCTCTTCAAAGAGTTTTCCTTGTTTAACGAAAGAGAGGTTGAAGCCAAGTCCACTTCCCTCTAATTTGGCCTCTAGTCCTTGTAGGTACATCATGAATAACAACGGTGACAGAGGGCACCCCTGCTTAAGCCCCTGTTTTACCTTTGCGGGCTCGGATACCTGTTTTTCTCCTTTATAACTACCTCGTTACTTTTATGGATATTCTTTATAAGATTAGTGACTTCATCTTCCACACCTAGTGTGTCCAGTATTCCCCACAAGTCCTCTTGAACCACGCTATCGTACGCTCCCTTGATATCCAAAAATGCTAGCCACAGGGGCCTGTGTTTCTTTTCTGCTATTTCTATGCACTGCGTCATAGAGAAAAGATTGTCTTCCAGCCTCCTGTGTTTCCGAAACACATTCTGCAGTTCTCCCAGCACCCCCTCATCTTCTATCCATGCCAGCAGTCTTTCCTTCATATTCTACATCGCCAGACTGTAGACCACTGATGTTACTATTATACGACGATAGTTGTTTATGTCAGCTTTATCCCCCTTTTCTTTATAGATCATGATAATCCAGCTAAGTTTCCATCCATCGGGTACTGATGGATGGATGGATTGGTGTGGCTGTACCCTTTAGATCGGGCGGCGGCTAATGCCACCTAGCCATAATACTTAGTGAACCAACAACTAGATTTATATTTTTTTTTTCTTTTAAAATAGTGAAGTATAGGACTGGTACTTTGCAGTGAATGGTTTTTTTTCACTCGTGCCTTGACTTTAGCCACCAATCAGATAACCTTTTTCTAGTTAATTATACCTGCTTAAAGTCTATTTTGCCCTCTCTGTCCCTAAACCCCAGCGCTTTAAAATACTCAGTGCCATCATCCTGAACTATAGGGTGAAGCCCTTTACAGAACAATATCAAGTGTTCGATATTTTCCTCCTCCTCTCCGCATGCCCTGCATACCGTGTCTACCCCTTTGTATTTGGCCCAATATGTCTTGGTTCGCAATACTCCTGTCCTGGCCTCAAAGAGTAGAGAACTACACTGAATATTATCATAGATCCTTTCCTTGGAAATTTCCTGCTTAAACGTTCGATAGATTCCTAGTGCGGTCTTCTTAATCATGTCGATTATTGACGTATCGGTCTCCGTTTCCTTCATCTTCTTCCCTCATTTCAAAAAGAATCGATAGTTCTTTTTGGTTTGGCCCCCTGCTGTTTTCTAAGTATTTACCTGTCAATTTTTACCTCTCAATTCGCTTCCTCCATTTTGTATCGACGTTCTTCATGTACAAGTAGCTGAAAACCTTTGTAACCTAACGCTCCTCCCTCATTTTTTCCCAATCGCTTCTCAAATTTTATCTTTCTGCTAGCTTCCCTGCCCTCAAATGATGTCCATCCCATATCATCTCGCACTTCCTGATTTAGTGTATTCTCGTTAGCTCCTAAAGCAAGCCTATCTATTTCACATTGCTTAAATTCTAATCTTGATTCAACTTGGATGGAAACGTGTGCTAGCGCAACCTGGCGGTTTCCTCCCAGGGCGTTACGCACTAGCCAGTGTGTTCATCACACTTCTCTATTCTAGCTACTGTAGCTGCGTGAAGGAAACCATGAACTACAGTGTTCAAGTATGAACTGAGCTTTAGTTTCGGATGGTCTATGGCTCAAAAGTAAGCCAGTGGCAAAACAAAATTAAGGCAGTCTCATTGCCATTGCTATCGAGCGATGGCGATGCCTAAGCTTGCTAAACAGCGGCGGTTCTTGGTGGTGCCAACGCGTGTTTTAGACGTCGTTAACGCATTTTCAGGCTCTGAAAATGCTTTGAAATGTTAAAGATTGGTTTCACTGGATAGCAATAAGTATTTGAGCCTGAAATAGCATTGTAAAATTTCGTTGAAGCAGGACGATCGAAGAAAAAGTGTTTGTTGTGGCGACAATATTTATGCATTGACTCCTATGGATGGCTGACGGTGAATCGTAAATTTTCCATTGTAGCGGCGATCGACCATAATGAGGCCTGTTTGAAATAGCAGTTTTCTCGGGCTGCTAAACAATCATGCTGCTTTACTGGCCGTCACATGCATTAACACGCGAATGTGACGTCAGTGGAATGACCTGGTAAGAGAAGTTATAGCCAGAGCATTAGTTTTCTTTTGCTGCAAAATTATAAAATTATAGAAACCTAGGGGAAAAAAAAGTAACTGCAATTTTTGCCCTCTGAATGTGGAAGTACAGTGAGTGATCTGCTTGGTTCCAATTTCAATTACATCAGGGTTCAGTCCCACGTTGCCTTCGCTAGCTCAGTACAGCGTCTCACTGTTTTTTCTTTATTGGTTGTGTTAGGTCGTGTTTACAGCAAGTTGTGGGTGGCTTAGTACTTGCTATACTGGCCATGTGTGTCGTCAGACAGTCTTGCACAACTCATCAAAGTTCAAACAACGTTCCGAGATGGCCTAACCATACCGCAATCTGAACGGTATGATGCCACGAAGCTCGGTCAACTGTGGCTCAGCAAACATCACTGCATCACCAATTTTTTTCGATTCCAGATACTTCTCATTGGCCGAGTTAAAGTGACATCAGTTATTCAGTTGAGGGGAACATGAGCAGGGAATCAAAATTGTGCTTTGATAGCTATTAAATAAACCCGAACGATGAAACGAGTCGAGGCATAGCATAGAATAAATGGCCAGGATTCCGAACACACACAATGTTGAAATGTTTTTAAAAACATTTTAAGACCTCTTTAACTAGCAGTGAAAGGCGGGCTAGTTGGAACATGCTGTATAAGGAAGACGAAATATCCCATCCATGGGACAGAGCGAAGGACGCACACAAGGATGGGCATTGTCATTGTGTGCTTCTGTCGCACCGTCCCATTTATGCACTGTTTCCTTCCTTGTAAAAACAAAGCTTCATTATGTTCAGGAGGGTCATGGAGACCCGGTCTTTCAGGGCAATGATTAGATTATGAAGTGTTTTCCTAAACACATCAGATGCATGTTGGGGCTGTAAGAGCAAATATTGCTCACAAGGCACTGTATGTTATCCAAAGCTGCAGCTTGGCCAGGGCCAAGCACAGTTTGCCTTCCCTTGATATCCCACCATGGCTGTATCTTTAGCAGAGGCAGTAAGTTCAAAATGAGGCAGAAGAATTGCAATGTCACACCACACAGTTCTTGCTGCAGCTCTTCCTCTTCTTATATACTGAAATCCATGAAATCCAGCTTTGTTTCCAATTTTCATCTGTGATTGCAACCTTCAGAAAGAAATAGACAGACATAATTAAGAAATGGAAAAGAAGGAATGCACTTAAGTAAGACAAGAAATCAAAAAAAAAATGCACCCTACTCTAACTCATCATTCTGAAAGGAAAATAAGCACCACTTCAGTCGAACACAGTTACATCGAACCCCCATACATCGAATTTTCGTGTATATCAAACTCGCAAGTTATCCCTTTGAAATTCATATGTAGAAGTATAGTAATTCGCACGTTTATATCGAACGGTATTTCTACTTACCTTCGGATATATCGAACGCCACGCGAGGTGGATGGTGTGCTATGGCACTTGCGAAAAATGAAGAAGCAGGCCAAGATTAGCGAATTTTTTTTTTCACGCAAATAAATCATTCTGTCGCCGCGTATGTGCGGAATCAGTAGTCATTCTTGAATGCTTCTATTGTAGGCAGTGATCTGCTACAGGTAAGCTCTCAAAGCTTCTATTTCTTCATATCAAATTTTTTATATATTGAACTGATTCATGATCCCCTTCAAGTTCGATATATTTGAGTTCGACTGTACTATAAAACAATGAATCAAGAGGCAGGAATAACAATTGAATTTAGTACCCAATAATCTAAGTCAACAAAGTAAGAATTCGTAGACAAACCAGCAAGGGCGGTGTTACAATTCAGCACAGAATATAAGGAGCAGCAGCCTTATTTATTTATTTTTATTTATTTATGAATACTGCAATCCTTACTAGGGATTTTCACAGAGTGGGTTACATGAATGCTCAATATGCTGACAAACAAATTTTCAAAACAGGAAGATAAAAACACACAGAAAAGTATGCACAAAGCAACCTAAGTATGCGAAATTTGGAATGTTTATGGGGTCAGAGCTTAATTGGCATGCTATATTAAACACTGTTATCGAGGCTAGAAGAAAACAATGTTAAGGATGGCTGTAAAACTTCGGTGTTGGTTAGCTTGTTTCAGTTGTTTATAGTTCGTGGAAAGAATGAATATTTAAAGCACTTATTATATGTTGTATAGGGTGTTATTGTGCGCTCATGCCTTTGTCGAGTTGCATATCCAGACGAAAATGAAAGAATTTCAGAAATGTCTATCTTGTAATGTCTCTTTATTAGTTGATATAGAAATTTTAGTCTAGATACCCGCTTTCTTTCTGTTAGTGTTGGTAGATTAGCTCGAGCTGAAAGTTCCATGATTGAAGTGCGCCCGAAGCTGTTATAAATAAAACGAATGGCCTTTTTTTGTACTCTTTCTAGCTTGTTGATATTAGATTTGGTAAAAGGGTCCCATATAATGGAAGCATAATCTAGAGTCGGTATAACTATTGTTTTATAAGCCAGAAGGTGGACGGAGGGGGTTGAGAGTGTCAATGCCCTTCTGAGGAAGAACAGCTTACGCATTGCAGTGTTAGTTACTGTAGTAATGTGTTTCGTCTAATTTAGGTCATCTGTGATCCATATGCCAAGATACCTGTAATGTGGGACTTGGGAAAGTTTAGTACGGGGAGTAGAGTACTCGTATTCTAAAGGATTCCTTTTATTAGTTATTTGCATAAAAACTGTTTTTTCAAAGTTAATAGCCATTTGCCATTCATCACACCAGGAGGACCCTTTTTGTAGAGCATCATTTAACACCTGTTGGTCTGCGGGACTGCATATTTTGTTATAAAGTACACAGTAATCAGCGTAGAGTTTGATTTTAACAGGGATGCCATCAACAATATCATTATTAAACAGGAGAAAAAGAAGTGGTCCTAGCACTAAGCCCTGAGGAACGCCAAAGTCAACAAGCTGTCTATGTGAGCAGGAATCAGCAAAAACAACAAATTGTTCGCGTTTTGTGAGATATGCAGAAATCCAGTTAACTACTTAGGAATTATTGATTATTCTACCCATCTTATATATCAGTTTAGTGTGGGATACTTTATCAAAGGCTTTCGAAAAGTCCATAAAAATAACGTCAGTCTGTGTTCTACTATTTATTGATTTGGCAAAGTCATGTATTGTTTCAACTAACTAACTGAGTGTTTGTCGAATAACCTTTCCTAAAACCATGCTGGAATTTGGTATATTATATAGTTATATTCCAACCTTGTGATTCATTTCTGGATGCGCAACTTGAGTGGACGCCTCAGAGCCATTTGTCACTGACAGAAATATGGACAGTTTTCCTGGAGCTACACATTCTTCTGTTTGGCATATCTGAAGGAATGAAACACAAAATACTGTGTGTTACTCAGATTTAAAATGCTGCATGGAACTGTCCAAAAAGACAATACTGAAATTAAATATATCCACACCGCGTGTTCCTTTGGAGTGCTGTTGTATGAGGGACAGGCTGTGAGTGCTTGCAGAGATTCGTTGCTGAAATTCTGCTGAAAGCATCTCTCCAACCTGCATTTCACAAAGGCTCGAATCAATGCCAGTCTTGTTCCGGATGCAAGTTGAAGTTTATTTAAGGCACAAGAAAAGCGGTACAATAAAAAAAGGAGATGTACAAATTGTCTTTTCGCTTAGGGGACCTCTCACGAAATCAATGCACTGAATGAGGGTCTATGAACCTTTCATTTATATTATGCCAACAACTTTTTTTTTAATCAGGAAAGACAGCATGACTATTAAAAACAGATAGCTGTAGTTTCCGATTGCATCTTCACCTTTCTGCTTTCATACCTTTGTGCCTTTTGCTGGTCACGTGCCTTTTGTCTGTACACAGATGGAAAGATTGTGGGGATGTAGGCTGGATGTTCACGAATGTCACTTTTGCGGTTGCCTTGAAAATGAGTGCTGCAAATTCGTGTATGGTCTTTCGGCAACCAAGGAGTTCCATCGGGACTGTAGCAGAAAAAAACAGCATAGCTGGTTGAAAATCGTCATAACTCATGACACACACAGGGGTGCGCGAGCCCGGGACAGAAAATTGCACTATTTCGAAATGTGGCAACTACAAAGCATCTAATAATTAAGTGACAGATTCAGCAACCAAAATGTATATTCCACCTTAATAAAAACAAAGCAGACAAATGATGTCAAACTTTGCTGAAAATGCACAGACTACGCTACGAAAAAGCTAGCGTTCGAGACGCGTGAACCATTGACAATGTGAGCAGTACACAAGAATTCAATCAACAGTGCAACGCAAACCGTGGTATGACGCATGTGAATGTGAACAGTCAAGAACGACAGCTAGGTCTCAAACACACAGAGATTCAAAATACAAAGTTCTTTCACCACACAACTGTAACTGCATGCACTTTCACAATGCGAGGAGACAACAAGCACTGAGCAGTTGTTGCATGCATGCGGCACGTTACGCACAGCGTCGATATTTATGAAAGGGAACATGTAAACGTGTGGCCTGCACACTCTGCAGCGCCTGCTTGTAGCATGTTTAAACGGATGTGACAGCAACCACCATCTCGATTCAATAGCGGTTATACTAAATCTTCTGCTGGAGTGGCGAAGGGGCTCCGTGGCTGAAGTCGATGCGCTGCCATATTGCTCAGGATAAAAAGCGGATGGGCGCATGTAGCGTACGAGGCTTTCGCGTTGTTTTTGTGCTATTAATGCTGTGTGGTGTCTCGAATTGAACAAGACAGTGCTGAAAACGTCTGCGATCTATTTTGGAGACGACGATGGTGGGCTCTTGAGAAGCATTTGGCTGTGCGAATCGTGTGAAGCAGACACCAGGTAGAACTTTGTATATATATATGCTTCAATCGCTCGCTTTTTCTCATGTATTTTTGCGACTATTTCCTTTTTGCGTTCGGGTGCACATAGACACTTTGAATAATTTTCATACATCTTAGGATTCCAAAAGACGTCATTTTGCGCGGCATATGCGCGAGCGCTCCGAGGCTAGAAGGTTAAGCGCTAAAAAAGAATGACGACTTATGTTCAGTACTTATGTTGAAGCAGGCTGCTTCGATGAGAGAGGGTAAATAACGTGACTACGAATTTCTAACATTACTACCGTGTTTGCATCGTTTCGAGCGCACGTAAAAAAGCCAGCACGTGACTGCGCTTGATACAAGTGAGCGCTTCATTTTTGAAAGGTAGTTATTGTAGCATCGGCTCCGACTTTCTGGGATTTTGAGTTCCTTATATTTTCATGAGCCCTACGCTCCCAATTCCAGAATTTATGACGTTGCGATATGCATCTCTGTATGTAGAAGAAAAAGAAAAAGAGCTCCTCTGAAAAGTCTGAAAAACCTTTTGCCTATAGCGCCTCTCATTGATAGAGCTGTCAAAATCCTGCCGCCCCCAAAGTTCACCTACAAAGAAATGGTACAGGCAAAAAAAAAAAAAAACAAGAACTGAATGAACTACGAACGAGGTACAATTAGCAAAATTTGTCATTGGGCGAGTTGGTTCATATTTAAAGATAAACTAGTGTGTGCAAATTGAAGACAAAGACACAGAAAAGATGGGACAGGAACAAGTGCAAACCTTCAAACGAATTTTATTATTTGTAAACTTTCAAATTTATACTTACAAGAGCACATACTCACGTGGACATGGTCAAAAACCAAGCAGCTTCGCGTACAAACTTATGCTCACTTTCAAATAAGGACATTGATGTGTCGTTAACACAAACATTCTTGCAGAAATATAAAAGGCTTCCAACAGTTCGCGCGCTGTGGTATTACTGCTCCTACGAAAAATCTTAATCTATTTGAGAATCGGTGGGCACCTTCAAGCTTGGCAATGTGCATGCAAATGCGCGTTCCATCTGTCCATCTTTTCTGTGTCCTTGTCTTCAACTTGCACACACCCGTTTATTTTGAGGTACAATTAGCAACTGAAAAAGTAGGGCAAGACATTGTAGCAGTACCAACAGGACCTTTCAAGATGTATTATATCTTCTCGGAAATTCGTTGACCAGGTAATGGTGCAGAACATGTTCTCGGATGAAGGATTGGATGTTTTACAAGCACCGGATATCCAAGAGCTGCTCAAACTAGTCCGTGAAAAGGTGAATACCCCCCACAATATTAAGAAGAGTTTGCACACACCCTGCACTATTATTCGTCAAGGGCTTACGATTGTGTGCAAGCAAAACTTATTTTCTCTGCATCTCCTCACTGGTTACTTCTGCTGTGAATCAACTGTGTTAACATATAAGGTGAATTATTATCCCTGATTACCTTCTTAACCCGCTTAAAACACTGTGTCAAGTAAAAATGAAAACAGATGTACATTAACGTCCCTTCCAAGTTCCCTCGCCTCCTAAGAATAATGAGCAGGTGCTTTAGCAGCTATATCGAAACACACGGCCGCAAGCGCCCAGAGCATTTTCGGCGCTGCCACCATCTGCCCTGAGCAATATGGCCGCAGCGGCTTCACTTCGATACATGGGCGGGTATGCGGGACCACCACTCCAGAAGTTTTAGTATAACCTCCTTGCTCGATTATTGTCATCTATATATAGTGGCGAAAAAACCACCGGTCATGGGTGATATAGAACCGGCGCCAAGATATCAAACGCCTCCCCTTCAAGGCGAATACGTAAGAGGCCGGGCGTAATCGCCTTGAAGGGAAGGGGGTAACAATCTTGCCGCCGGGGTCATGACTGGGTGTAAGCCGTGCTCGCAATTAGGGCTGCAGAAGTCGCGTCTTTTCTTTTCCTGAACCTCTATATATATCTCTCTGGTTGTTGTGCCACGGCCGCTAGATAAGACGGGAATCAAGGCGGTGGTTGCTATCACTTCCGCTTGAACGCGCTACAAGCAGCCGCAGGAGTGCGCGGGCCATCCGTTCGCGTGTTCCCTTTCATAAACATTGACACGGTACTTCCAGATAGTCGAACGAAAGCGAAGAACTCAGCCAGCCAAAACAAAAGGCGAGACACGGCTATAACTTACTTAATTCTCCTTACTGCGGTGATCCACGTTTCTCGCCTTTCTTTTTCGTACGACTTGCCCGGGAACCGATACAGCTTTATAGGTAGACCGCGTGCCCTGATGTTGTCAGCAGTGTTATAGCAGCCCACAACACAACAATACTTTGGACCTCGCCTCTTCCTTGGGGTCGCTGCTGCCATCACGCACAAATGCAGTTTCGCACAGCCGGTCAATCGGTTTAGCACACCAAGCTGATAGCACGCGTTGTTGAAGTTCATCACCCCAAAACACTAAATATCTGCAGTGAAACCGCCGAGTCGGCCGCACCTATTCCCAATTTTGCCAGTGCTTGTCGCCATAGGCGCAGCGCGGCACTGTCATCGCCCTTGATATCAGGGGTTAAGGGACAGAGAGGACTTTAAACGGGTGGAATTAACTAGAAGAAGGTTACCTGATTGGGGGATCAAGTCAAGGCACGAGTGAAAATTAAACCCTTCACTGCAAAGTACCAGTATTCAACTACACTATTTAAAAAAAAAAAAAAGAGAAATTTAGTTGTTGGTTCACGAAATATTACGGCTAGGTGGCGTTAGCTGCCGCCCGATCTAAAGGGTAGAGCTACAGCCACGTCTCATCCAATCTATCCATATCCCCCAAGGTGCTTATACAAGTTTGAGATTAGGCGCGGCCGAATCAACTGTTTCACAGCAGAGGGAGCATACGTGCGCATGCGCTTTGTTTTCAGTCAGTCGGTGTGGTCACAGAACACCTGTGTGGTGAAATTATGCAACGCGTGCTTGGCGCGCTCAACCGAGAGACTCTCGCTGTGCGAAGTTGCATTTAACTAATCACCCGTGGGGTTCCGCGAATTAACCGGTACCTGGTCATCGGGCCTCGCGGCCAGCCTGCCTTTACTTCTTGCGGCGAGTCGCACCGTTGGTCGCATCGAGAAAGCCACGCATGCCCAAGCAGCTTTGCGGAACTAAAGGCTGCGGGAGTAAGTATCTTATTAATTCAAGCATGACACTTCTAACATCTCTCCACGCATCTATTTTATGCATGCTAGCCTTGCCTATCCACGACTTCTCCAACTACTATTTTTCGCGCGCTTTACCCATGGAGGACCATGGCTTTATCAGAGACATAGCCTCCTAGATTCCAGAGAACACAGGCTTGAATGCAAATATTTGACAGAAGTCTGGTGGGGCGTGAAACTGGGAGATGATATAGACTCCAACCAAAAGTTTTGAACACAGGTCAGAGGCTTTTGCCCGGCGCAGTGCCTTTTTTAGGCACTGCGCCGTGCTCCCTACCGGACTGCATAAATTAGGTGAAATTAGGTGCCTTTTTCCTCTTCTAACTACAACCACCACGCTTTTGTAAAAGTGTAATTGGCGGTCATGGCGGTGACAGTAGCAACCTAGACAACGCCTAAGCCTAGGCGAGGACCGCGTTTGTGCGCTCTGGTTGGTTTGGTCCCCCGGGCTTTTGAAGTGGCTCGTGTCATCATTAATTTTTTTTATAAGCGTTTCGGACGTGCGTCAGGATACTAAGCGAACTTATTGTGAAACGAACGAATAGTGCAATGGCTCTTTACAAGTGCCAGAGCTTTGTCACGAGCGTTGTTCCTAGTACACCACGGGGCAGTCATGAACAACACCTAAGCTGCTGGCACACGGTTCCAGGCATAACTCAGGTATGTGTTTTATATTTGCGATTATGTGTAGCTACACTTTGGTGAATTGCGAATGACCATTTTGGTTAGTGAACACGTTTTCTCGAGCAAAGCAGACGTTTACTTGTAGTCAAATAAACGCCATTAATTTAGGAAAGTGGGCATCACAGTGCCTGCGAAGTGGTTCTTCTGTTAGTATACTGTCAACAAAATAAGTGGGAAACGAAAGGCAACAAGTAGAAGTCAGTCAGACCTCACCCCCCCCCCCCTTTTTTTTTATGCGATATCTTAATGGGTGTGGATAGAGCAGAACTATGTCGTTTTTCGGAGCTCAGGGCTGCCATGGGACGTCCCACACTAGGTGGAAAAACATACCAAGTGGTACTAAAGGAGACCTTACTGGTATGGACCGTAGTGCAATGGTTTGGGATATTATTGGAGCATCTGGGCACTTTATCAGGGACATTTCAAAATTTAAAAAGGTGGGACATCTGCTCCAAATACAAGGGTAGGGGGCTCTTCCATATTCTGAGGTGGGGGCTCGGCTTCCCCTCGGCAGGCCAGCCGTAGTACTACTGCCTCCGAAGCGCTTGTGCTTTGTTTTTGCAGTAGTGATGTTTACAGAGTAATTGTACCTAATATATCTATTTGTGCTAGTGACATTTGTCTCCCCCTTCATATATACATAGTGTGCACGTGCGTCACACAGCGCCCCTTCGTCACTTCCGAAATGCGCTGCCGACATGCCCGGGTACCTACCCACTCCATCGCTTACCGCTGCCGTGTTGTCTCCTCGTGCTTGCGCCAATTTAGTTTTGCCTCACAATACAAGTTTGAGGGCCGCTAGTGAGGCAAGTTGATTTAGTAGTCCCCAAAGACTGAGCAGAGCTTCGGGGTGTTTTTTTACCGAAAGTTATTACCCAAATTGGGTAAAATTGGGTGCACAGAGCCCGACCCGCCGGGCTGCTATAGTGGTAACATCAGAAAAATAAGAAATAAGCGGGTGGGATGACTCGTTTTATAAATTTATTCACTGGACATTCACAGAAGCGTCATCAAACATGCTTCTCTCAAGGATCTAGTAGGAAGTGAAATGTTCGCCGTTTTCTAGTATTTTATTGATGCGTGTGGGCATCGACTCGTAAAAAGATTTAATAATGTCCGGTCGACCGCGCAGGCTTTCCCATTCTCGTGCGATCACTTGCCTCATTGTATCGGCCGTGTAAACGCCATTGGCTAGTGTGGACAGCCATTTCTTCAATATGCCCCAGACATTTTCTACGGGATTCAAGTCTGCGCCGCATAGAAGCCACTCGAGCTGGCAAACAGCTTGTTCTTCTAGCAATGACTGGACGACACGTGCTTTGTGTACCAGGCTGCGGTCGTGTTGAAAAAGGTAGCAGCCGTCGCTGAAGGGACGATTGAGCGCATACGGAATGAGGTGTCTGGTGATGACGTCGCAGTACCGTGACGCAGTGAAGGGCCCTTCCAGACGCACAAGGGGGCCAAGGCCGCCTTGGCTGATTGCTCCCCACACGCTCGCGGAACATCGTCCACTGGATAGAACACTTTGTGTAATAGGGCAGATATCTGCAAGGAATAGCATACAGTTAGGCTCCAGCGGCGCGTCTTAAAATGTTGACATTCCTCTTGTGTATGAACTGTATACTGCTGTTATAGAGTTTGCAATAGAAAAAGTACGAACATCATTAGCTTTTACCGAAAGACCCACTGGCAGCTTTTAATTAGCTTCAGAGTAAGTAGTACTAAGAAACAATCGTTAAGTTGGTGTTTTCAGCATTATACCACTGCAGAAAAATCTCCTACTTTCCAAAACCTCATAATACGCGAAACATGTTGTGATGCAGAACTATCTTCTGGAATTAATTGTGAAAACGCTATAAACACGCCTGCAGTTTAGTGAACGCCAAACTCGCTTCAGTTGGTCTCAGCGTGTGGAAAAGGTTGACTCGTCGCTAAAAATGACATCCCCCCATTTCTCCGTTGTCCACTCTTTCATTGCTGTAGCGAACACGAGTCGTTCTTGCAGCTGGCTGCCTAAGAGACAGGGCTTCTGAGTTGCTACGAAAGACTGCGGGCCAAGCTCACTCAGCATTCTTCTTACAGTCTCAGATGATACCGTGAGCGAGAGCGCTTCGCGGATGTTCTCGGCACTTTGAAAAGGATCAGGCATGATGGCGGCTGTTGTAATCAGGCGATCCTCTTCTTCAGTCATGGTCCTTGGACGTCCGCTGCGCTCCATATCTGTGAATCCGCCATCGTCGCGGAAAGCCTGAATAATTCTATTCACGGCAATCCGGCTCTTGTTTCGGCGGCAAATTGGTACTCCCTCTATAAATAAACACACAATGTGCCTTCTTTCATATAGTGGATCACGGAGCGGCATCTTTCCAAATGGACAATCACCAAGTGGCTAGAAGCAAGTCGACTATGTTTTCAGCTACTGATACGAAGATGCGCCTGTGTGCGCAAGAAAAACTTTCTATGCATCCGCTTTTTCTTTATTTTTGGTGTCAGTGAAACATCTCCCTACCCCTTCTCTCAAGGCGCAGGAGCAGCAACACCCATTGGAACAAGATGCTGCTAAACCAAAATGCGCCACTAAATGTCGCGTAAAAAAATCGTCGCAGCGCTTCGTGAAACTTATCTACACGCCAGTCGACAAAGGTTGCAGTGATTGCTCCGATACTGCTATCAAGGCAGATATGTAGCGGTCTTACCGCAGACAGCGCTTTATGGCAGGGCAACAAACTAACAATGTCTTGCTCGGGAATAGAGACTTGACATGCAGGCCAGTACCAAGAAGGCTCATTTCCGGGTGAGAGCCGCTGTAGCCGCTAGGTGGCATACTGCTGGGGGGCGCGGATAGGCAGTTTGGCACGCGCTCGCGTGGTCCACAAACTTCTGTGGTTGACTGTACATACAAACTTGTCCGCTACCACTGCGTACACAATCGGTGTGTCAGGGAGGCAGTTAAAATCGTGATGGCGATTGCGGAAATTCGGGTATTGCATTGAAACAAACTGTGAAAATGGATGCGAAACAATATTAGTTCATTTTGAAGTATAGCCGATCGGTTCAAGTTGGGTGGTCAGGATTTTGAAAAGTTGTTCAATTAATTTCCTAACACGGTCTCCATAATTTTTAGGGACTCCACTGTACATTAGCATACAAAAAAGTAAAATACAAGATGAAAAAGGTGTCAAAACATACGCGAAAAAAAAAAGTGATGACCGGCATTACCGTGGCATGCACCACGCGAAGTTTCTATCTTCCTCGCATAATATTTTCCTTGGCTGTTTCCACAAGTTTCAATCAAATAGGCTCAACATCAGCACTGCTTTTTAACACTTGGGGGGACAGGGGGACGCTGCTACTTTGGCGGTGTGGGCCGCAACAGTATATTTATTATTTATTTTTTTACTTGCAATACCCTCAGGGCCAAACGGCATTACAGAGGGGAGTGGTTGCGAAAGAAAAAACAAAAAAATTTTTACAAATGCAGCGGCGAATCTTACATCGAGCAGAAGATCTTAATTATACAGGTTAGCTAACAGGCTTTATAGTAAACAAAAGCGCGGGAATGATGAGAATTGCATCAAGACAGAAAAAAACGACAAAAAAATAAATACTGTACAGGAACAACACAGCATCGAGTAA